AACCCAATATTATGTTTTTGCTGTTGTTCCAAAAGAAAAACAAGATTTATAGACAATATTCCTCTGGTAAGCAGAATATTGCTTCAAGTCTTTGCAGGTCTTATTTTCGATTTATCCATGCAAAACGACATAGAAACCCCAAATCCAACGGAAATTTCCTGCTCAAATTTAATTTTGTTGCACACACACACACACACATAAAATTTTATCAAGAGACTGATTGCTGGGGAATGGGAAGGAGGTAGGGGTGATAATTTAAAGGAAATAATCAAATGCTTCATGACTCTACAATAACACTTGATAGATGGATAATCCTTCAAAATTTGGACCCGTTGTGGGGGAGATACCAGAAGGATATATCGTACCTTCCCACCATATCTTGTGTTAATAAAAATATTGGAATGTGTAAAATTTAAGGAAAATCCGACACTTATTTCACATTTTACAAAATTTATAATTATTCTAAATTTGGGACCTTTGTGAGGAAGGTACGAGAAGGAGTGGTCCGATATATTTCGCCTTCACATCAGATCTTATGTTGGTAGAAATATTGGGTTGTGCGAGATTTGATGTCAATCGAACTCTTATTTCATATTTTATAAGAATATTAATTATTCAAAATTTTGACCCTTGTGGGGTACTTTATTAAATGGCCCTTTATTGCCTATTTTCCTACCTGACACAGCACTGACAAAAATATTGGGATTTGCAAAATTTGCAAACAAATCCAGTGATCCTTTCTTTGAAGTAAAATATTTTCTTTGAAAATGTCGATCTTTTGTGGAGGAGGTATCAAAAGAAGTGGACCGAGATACCAGAAGAAGGGCACCGGTATATCCTACCTTCACATAAGATCTATTGCTTATAAAATAATTGGAATGTAAAAAATTTTAAGAAAATCGGACTAATATTTCACATTTTATAAGAATAGTAATTATTCAAAATTTTGACCTCTGTGGGGTGCTTGATTGAACTGGCCTATATTGTCCGTTTTCCCACCTGACATAGCACTGACCAAAGATATTGGGATTTGCAAAATTTGCAAAGAATCGAGTGATTCTTTATTTGAAGTAAAATATTTTCTTTGAAAATTTCGATCTTTCGTGGAGGAGGTATCAAAAGAAGTGGACCGAGATACCAGAAGAAGGGCACCGGTATATCCTACCTTCACAGAAGAACTTTTGTTAATAAAAATGTTGGATTGTGTGAAATTTCAAGAAAAACGGACTCTTATTTCACATTTTATAAGAATAGTAATTATTCAAAATTTTGACCCCTAAGGGTTACCTGATTGAACTGGCCGATATTGTCTGTTTTCGCTCCTGACATAGCACTGACCAAAAATATTGGGATTTGCAAAATTTGCAAATAATCGAGTGATTCTTTGCAGTAAAATATTTTCTTTGAAAATGTCGATCTTTTGTGGAGGAGGTACCAAAGGAAGTGCACCGAGATACCAGAAGGAAGGGGCCAATATATCCTACCTTCACATAAGATCTTTTGTTAGTAAAATAATTGGAACGTAAAAAAAAAAATAAGAAAATCTAACTCTTATTTCACATTTTATAAGAATAGTAATTATTCCAAATTTTGACCCTTGTGAGGTACTTGATTGAACGGGCCGATGTTGTCCGTTTTCGCACCTGCAATGGCACTGACAAAAATATTGGAATTTGCAAAATTGGCAAAAAATCGAGTGAAACTTTCTTGAAAGTAAAATATTTTCTTTGAAAATGTCGATCTTTTGTGGGGGAGGACCGAAAAAGAAGTGGACCGATATTGTCCATCTCCAAGCTGGATCTAAGTTGGACAATAATATTATGATGTTCCCAGTTTGAATCAAATCTTCCTTTGAGAGTTATCGTGTGCACCAGCCAGCCAGAGAGACGGAAATACTGCCCCAAATTGACTCCAAATGAACTGAAACGGGTTTGGTCACCTAATACTAAAACTAGTACTATTCCGTACTTTTCCTACAATTATAGTACACATTTCCAGGCTATAAATGAACAGCGACCCTAACACCAATTTTCAGATTTCAGGCACTATCTGTTCATTTGATATTTGTTTGAGATTTGGTGGTGTGTTGGAAATGCGTCATATATTTGTACGAAAAGTACTAAATGCTCCTAAATTTTGTTATTGGGTGAAAGGATTGAGCTGCAATCCTCAAATTTGATATTAAAGTCTCTGTTGGTATCTGAGATTAAGATATGGAGTTAGTGTTGGAAATGTGTACTATAATTGTACGTAAAATACTAAATATTACTAAGTTTGGTATTGGGTAAATGAACAGATCTGAAATTTAATTTTAAAGTCTCTGCAGATATCTGATTTTGAAATCTTGAGATTGGTTTAAAAATGCGTACTTTAACTGATCGAAAATAAGTAAATACTACAAAATTTGGTATTGGGTGAAGGAATTGAGCTGAAATTCCGAAATTTGGTATCGAGGTCACTGTTGGTTCCTAGGGAGACCTTGAAATATTTACGGAACGAAAATTTAAATAAGGGCACATTGAACAATGATTCTACTGTAGAGTAGCTGGCCCCAGACGCCTACACTGTAGAGTATTTGAGAAGCATCCACTGTAGAGTGAGTGGCCTCAGAGGTCACTACTGTAGAGTGAGTGGCCTCAGAGGTCACTACTGTAGAGTGAGTGGCCTCAGAGGTCACTACTGTAGAGTGAGTGGCCTCAGACGTCACTACTGTAGAGTAGGTGGCCTCAGAGGCCACTACTGTAGAGTAGGTGGCCTCAGAGGCCACTACTGTAGAGTAGGTGGCCTCAGAGGCCACTACTGTAGAGTAGGTGGCCTCAGAGGCCACTACTGTAGAGTAGGAGTCCTCAGAGGCCACTACTGTAGAGTGGGAGGCCTCAGAGGCCACTACTGTAGAGTAGGAGGCCTCAGAGGCCACTACTGTAGAGTAGGAGGCCTCAGAGGCCACTACTGTAGAGTAGGAGGCCTCAGAGGCCACTACTGTAGAATAGGAGGCCTCAGAGGCCACGACTGTAGAGTAGGAGGCCTCAGATACCAATACTTTAGAGTAGCTGGCCTCAGAGGCCACTACTGAAGAGTAGCTGGCCTCAGAGGCCACTACTTTAGAGTAGCTGGCCACAGAGGCCACTACTTTAGAGTAGCTGGCCACAGAAGCCACTTCTTTAGAGTAGGTGGCCACAGAAGCCACTACTGTAGAATAGCTGGCTAGAGAGGTCACTATTTTAGATTACCTGGCCTGAGAGGTCGCTATTTTAGAGTAGCTGGCCTGAGAGGTCGCTATTTTAGAGTAGCTGACCTCAGAGGGCACTACTTTAGAATAACTGGTGTCAGAGTCCACTTTAGAGCAGCAGGCCTAAGATGCCACTACTTAAGAGAAGCTGGCCTCAGAGGCCACTACTGTAGAGCAGCTGGCCTAAGAGGCAACTACTTTAGGGTAGCTTTCCTCAGAGGCAACTACTTTGGAGTAGCTGGCCTCAGAGGCAACTACTTTGGAGTAGCTGGCCTCAGAGGCCACTACTTTAGAGCAGCTGACATCAGAAGCCACAACTTTAGAGAAGCTGACCTCAGAGGCCACTACTGTAAGTTAGCTGGCCCAGATGCCACTACTGAAGAGTAGCTGGATTCATAGGCCACTCTGAAGTGATGGTTGATGAACTCTCCGAATTGTGACCAGTGAGTTTTCCTATGGTAGAGGAATGTGCGGAATTCAGAGGTTATGAAATCGACCAATGGTTTGACCCAAGATAAATGATGTTTGGCCAAGCCACGTCATTTTTCAGGCCGGGCTAAACCATGGTTATATCTGACGAACTGTGGTTCTTCTCTCATTATTTGGGAGAGGGTATCCTCGTTTACCCTACAAAATGTGAAGAAGTGACGTAGAATTGCCTTTCGTAACAAAATTTTGAGTGGAGGTCCCAACCGACAAAAAAATTCCCTAAAAATATCAAAACATTTACAATTTCGAGACCCCTGAGCTCCCAGCCTGGTTACGTGGGTGATGTGGTGTAGTCAATCTGCTCTGATTGCGTAGTTAAAATGCTGATTCCCTCTGGTCATTACCTAGCACGGAATGTCGCAAAACGTGGATGGCATTGGAATCCCTTTTTACCACGACCGGCCTTATGAAAAACAACGCGGTTCACAGCTATTATCCTGGGGGATGTTTACTTAAGCAACTCCACCTGCACACCTGGCTGCTACCACCATACATTCCATGTATGGGTCACTAGAAACTAGCTCAGGTGAGCTAGGTCTGTATTGAACCGAATGATGTTACATGAACGTTAAATCCCCCACCACCACTACTTCTGGTGCGAACCTTCCTCAATATGTTGTAACCATTATAACTTTATAGGCTTTAATTTTCATTGAGTTCCAGCACCCTGTATGTGGTGTAGGGTATTAATATTTATTTAAATCCTCAATCACTGCTGCCTGCATTTATTTTTAATTCACAATTATCAAGAGATCTTGCTATAATTTTGAAGCCCCGATCATCAAATAGTCTTTGGGAAACACTTTTTGAATCCATGAAAAAATATTTTGTTATCCACGATTTTTGGTCTGTGGGTCCCCTGGCGGGAAACACTATTGGAATCCATAAAAAAATACCATAAGATTTTATGATTATATCCCAAACAAATATTCCAAAACAATCCTGATTTAGACCCAAAATTAATTTGATCGAAATATTTTCAAAAGATCTACGTTTTATATTTTTAATGCATTCCAATTAGAGCTATAAATCTTTCAAAAAAATCTAATATTAACAATTCCCAAAAATACAATTACTAATCGATTTTGTCTTGGTAACCCAAAATTTCCCTATTAATTGTTCTCCCTCAGCAAATTTTCATACTACCCCTCAAACTCTCTAAAGCAGAAATAAGTCACTCTAATGTAAACTTCATTTCATATTTATGACATGCATTTTAATGTTGTTATTTTTGTTGTTTCATTTCTTTTTTTGCTCTGCTCTTCTCTTCTCGTTGTTACAGCTTAGTGAAGATATTGGATATGTGCTCTACTCAGCATTGGGTTCCTTCTACATTCCCAGCTGTATCATGGTTTTCGTTTATATACGAATTTATTTTGCCGCCAAGGCGCGTGCGAGACGCGGCATTAAAAAACATCCGCGCAAAACAAACAACGAACAGGTAAGCAACCCCTCCAAGACCCATCAAACAACTAACCTAGCAGTCAACCCCTCCAACTGAGCCGAGTCAGCCAACAGGCATCCAGTCAACAAAACAGCCATCAAACTGTATTTAGCTGTCACCTTTCTCTGTCAGCCAAGATACACAACACAGTACTGCGAGAAAGTCCCTAGAATGAGGGGAAAAGAGAAACCGAAGTGGAAAATAAAGATCTCAACATCTATAGTCAAACACGTGTTGTATGTCTTGGCAACTTCTGAAGCTGAAGCAGATTGGTGGTTTTCTTCCATAGATTCTTGGTAGATGTAGTTCTTTTTCATCAAAAGAGATGAACAAAAAAATCGTTTTGTTTGCCCTCAGATTTTATGGAAGCTAGAAAAAATGATAGAATATTGCCAACAAATCCGCCATGTGTCTCACCGGAGTAATGACCAATTAAAATGTAAAGGACAGAAGGCAAGGATCTGCAGCTAATTTAAACAAAATTAGTTTTGTGTTTTGACAAAGTTGACAGCAGTTTAAGGAACATAAGAAAGTAGTTCAGGAACATAATGATAGGCAAATTGAGGAGGTGAGGAAAATGTGGTTCCTGCTTTGCTTAATGTTAAAGAATTACAAACAAGTAAAAAAGAACAAAAAGTTCGGCGGGAAATTTTCAAACAAAAAATATATTAAATTATGTTAAATTCTTTAAAACGGGGTCTCTGCGAAGACGTGGACCTGCATAGGCAACTTCTGTGATAGGCCTTTACAATATTCAAATACGAAACTTGAAAAAAAATCCGGTGAATCTAAAATCATCAAAATATCGAATAAAGGTACCTAAAATCGGCAAAATACCGAATAGGGAGGTTCAGATTTATATTGGGTCTATGCGAAGACGTGGATCTGCATAGGCAACTTTTGTCATAGGTCTTTACAATATTCAAATACGAAACTTGAAAAAAAAATCCGGTGAATAATATAGCTAAAATCATAAAAATGCCGAATAAAAGTACCTAAAATCGGCAAAATACCGAATATAGGGAGGTTCTGATATATGGGGCCTATACGAAGACCTGGATCTGCATAGACAATTTTCTATCATAGACTGTAATTCCCATAACGAACTCTAAATACCACAACTCTGGTGAATAATGTAGCTAAAATCATCAAAATACCGAATATTGGGGGTATCGTTATATGGAGGCTATACGAAGACGTGGGTCTGCATAGGCAACTTTTGACATAAGCCATTGCTAAATTCAAATCCGAAACTTGAAAAAATCCGGTGATTAATTTGGCTGAAATCATCAAAATACCGAATATAGGGAGGTATTTATATATAACGCCTATACGAAGACCTGGACCAGCATAAAAAATTTTCTGTCACAGGCTGTAGTACCCATTAGGAACCTCTAATATGAAATTTCAAACAATTGCGCCGAATAATGTAGCTAAAATAATCAAAATTCCGAATATAGGGAGGTGCCGTTATTTGGAGGCTATACGAAGACATAGACCTGCAGAGACAATTTTTTCGTCACAGGCTGTAGTACCCATTAGGAACCTCTAGTATGAAATTTGAAACAAATCCGATAAATAATTTCGCCAAAATCATCAAAATAACGAATATTTGGAGGTACCGTTATATGAAGGCTATACGAAGACGTGGGCCTGCATACGCAATTTTTTGTCATAGGCTATAGTACCATTTACGAATTATAAATACGAAATTTGAATCAACTCCTAAAAATAATATCCCTAAAATCCTCAAAATATCGAATATCTGGAGATACTTTTATATGGTGGCTATACGAAGACGTAGGCCTGCATAGACAATTTTCTGTCACAGGCTGTAGTATCTATTATGAACTTCAAATACAGTGTACCTAAAATTGTCAAAATACCGAATAAAGGCAGGTACCGTCATATAGGGCCTATACGAAGACCTGAACCTGCATAGACAATTTTCTGTCACAGGCTGTAGTACCCATTAGGAACCTCTAATATGAAATTTGAAGCAAGACCGATAAATAATTTCGCCAAGATCATAAAAATACCGAATATTGGGAGGCACCGGTATATGAAGGCTATACGAAGACGTGGGCCTGCATTGACAATTTTCTGTCACAGGCTGTAGTACCCATTAGGAACCTCTAATATGAAATATGGAGGCCATACGAAGACGTGGCCTGCATACGCAATTTTTTGTCATTGGCTGTAGAACCCATTACGAATTCCAAATACGAAAATTGAAACAAGTGTTTAAAAATAACTTCTAGCATGGATTTTTAAACAATTCCATTGAAAAATGTTGATAAAATCATCAACATACCAAATATAGGAAGGTACCATTATATGGGAGATGTACCACGCCGTGGACCTATATAGACAATAACCTTCACGGGGTAAAGTATTCATAAAGCACTCCTTGTCTAGAATTTCCAACAATTCCATTGAAAAATATGGCTAAAATTATCAAAATATCGGAGATTCCGTTATATAAGAGCTATAAGATATGGTGGACCAATATAGCCCATCTTCGAACCTGACCTGAAATAGCATCAAATTTTAGAATAAGTTTAGATTTGTTGGCATGAATTATGGCCTTCAAACGGCCAATGAAACCGCCACACGCTGCCGAATATTGCTCTGTGGTATTTTGGCCCATTTCCGGCGAAGCGCTTGCTTGAGGTGATCGACACTTTGGTATTTTTTAGTGCCAACCTTGCTTTCCAAAATACTCCAGACACAATAGTCCAACGGATTGGTATCCGGAAATTTTTGGTTGATTACAGTTTTTTTCATTTCACCCTGTATGGTGGAGGGTATAAAAAAGATACTTTTAGATACATGTAGATATAAATATATCAAAATTGGTATTCGTTTCCCTTTAGCTTAGTATCTTTAAGGAAAATCTTAAAACCAACTCATCACGCACCGAAATAGGCCATTCCTCAGACATCCATTCCAAGAACACAAATTGTGCTGTCTAATGGTTGATATTTTCCCATGAAAACTTTAAGCTTTTCATAGCCAGCATGCATCCATAACCTCTAATCCCCCATCTAAGTCAGGGCTTAAATTGTGTAGATGTTGATGTTTTTCTTATTTATAGAAGAAAAATAAGTGTGTGTGTGTGAGTGAGTGTGTTGTGTTTGCCATGCCATTGCAATTAACACAAGTGTACACACACACACACACATGTCAAACCAACTTAGCTTTTCAGCGAAATGGTAACATGAAGAGAGTGCAGAGAGATATATTCATAAGTTGTGCTCCCTCTTTATGTCGATGCAATGACAACATCAACATTTGCTTCAAATACCACAAGCAATTAACGCTTCACAAACAAGTGTATGTCCGACCGAAATGTGTACTAGACTGGGACGTAAAAATATATATTTTATATATTTTTTCTAGTATTGAAATCTTATGAGAATTACGAGAAATAAGCTCTTTTTAGTAGCCTAAATGCAAATCAAAATTGGATGGACAATGTGATGCAACTCCGAAATTTTGAGCTACATTCAAGATTGTATGCGAAGATGTTTTATGAAAATGAGGACCAAATCAATTGAAAATTTGGCCAAGACCTCGAAAATAGAGGAAATCAGGGGATAGGATAGACTGTACCACTTCTTCTAGTTCGTCCGGAAAATTTTTTGAATAATTGTAACTGTACCAAAACGAAAACAATTCACAGATATTAACTCGGAACAATGTCCGTTTGTTTAGCTCAAGGATAAATTCTATTGAAATTGGTGAGAATCGTTCAAATTTAAATATAACTCCTATTTATATATTCGTCCGATAAACATGCTATTATGCTCCACATGTGTAATATTTGTCCAAATGGGATGGATTTTGGCACATTCATCGGACTTCAGCCAAGAAAAAAGTACTTCAAATTAGGTGAATATCGGTTAAAACATAGCTATAGCTTACATACTTATGTTCGGCCGATTTGGTATTTAAATCCCTCATATTCGTAATATGCACCCCACATCAATTGCATTTGCTATGTTCCCAGAAATTTTTGCCAAGATCGGTTCAGATTTAGACATATCTCCCATATATATATCTTTATCCGATCTCAGGCTTATAATGCACCAAATGCTTGATATCAGCCCAAACGGGGTGGATTTTGCATATACAAACGAATACAGAAATCAAATTATAACTGAGCTAAAGCCACAATGCGAATTCAGAGTTATAGTTGGTATGATCTACATCTCATAAATCCCCAATATCAGCGTTTATTTGTTAGGGGCCGCCATAGTCGCCCTAATTTTGACCTTTCTTTTCCATATGGCTAGAAAGGGTATATATAATTTGATAGGGCCAAAATTTGCATAGTCGAAATAAAGCTAGGGTCTAACTAGATCTCCTTGAGACAAATCCGTTTCACGACATTTGGAGTCGATCTTTGAAGCTTTGAAAAAAATTTTAAAAAATCCTCGAATCCTTAAAAAAATTCTTTAAAAATCCACGAATCCTTGAAAATATTCTTTAAAAATCCAGGAATCCTCGACAAAGATCCTTAAAAAATCCACGAATCCTCGACAAAGATAATTTAAAAATCCACGAATCCCTGAAAAAAGGATTGAAAATTCACGAATCCTTGAAAAATTTCTTTAAAAATCCACGAATTCTTGAAAAAAATCTTTAAAAATACACAAACCCTTGAAAAAATTTAAAATCCACGAATCCTTGAAAAAATTCTTTAAAAATTCACGAATCCTTGAAAAAATTCTTTAAAAATCCACGAATTCTTGAAAAAAATCTTTAATAATATAATAATCCTTGAAAAAATTTAAAATCCACGAATCCTTGAAATAATTCTTTAAAAATTCACGAATCCTTGAAAAAAACCTTGAAAAATCCACGAATCCTTGAAAAAAATCTTTAAAAATACACAAATCCTTGAAAAAATTTTAAAAATCCACGAATCCTTGAAAAAATTCTTTAAGAATTCACGAATCCTTGAAAAAATTCTTGAAAAATCCACGAATCCT